CTATTCTGAGGAAGGGTCACCGGACCCGAAACGTTAACTCTGTTTTTTACCTTCACAGATGCTGCCAGACCTGCTGAGCTTTTCCAGCAACTTTGTTTTTGTTCCTGATTTACAGTATCCGCAGTTCTTTCATTTTTTATTTACTGGGAACGAAGGGCTTGTCTTATGGAGGAGTGGTTGAGGACTCTAGGTCTGTACACAGTGGAGTTTAGAAGGATGAGGGGTGATCTGATTGAAACTTACAGAATACTGAGAGGCCTGGATAGAGTGGATGTGGAGAAGTTGTTTCCAGTAGTAGGAGGGACTAGGATCCAAGGGCACAGCCTCAGAGTGAAGGAACGACCCTTTAGAACTGAAATAAGGAGGAATTTCTTCAGCCTAAGTGTGGTGACTCTGTGACGCTCATAATTGCTGAAGGCTGTAGAGGCCAAGTCATTGAGAGTGTATTTAAAACAGACAGATAAGCTCTTGATTAGTAAGGGGGATCAAAGGTAATTGGGAGAAGGCAGGAGAATGGGTTTGAGAAATGTATCAGCCATTTTCGAATGGCCTCATTCTGCGCCTAAATCTTATGGTCTTTCCCCCACCCCCATTTCCTCTGTCTAGACCACTCATAATTTTAAGTATCTATATAATCTCCACTCAACCTTCTTAAGGAAAACAGTTTAAACTTCTCAGAGTTGGGAGAGGTGTATAATGAGTGAGTGAGACTGACTGGACAGCACACCCGCTGATGTTAACTTCCAAGATATCTGTAGAGATCTGAGTGCCGAGGAACAGCAGGATAGCTTTCAAACTATTATCTTGCTAATTTAATCCGTCAATCTTTCATGAGAGAATAAAAATGTTCTCAACTAGACGTATTGAGCTAACTGGTCTGTAAATGTGCTGAGCTGACATTAACACTCCAGTCTCCAACAGATAGAAAGGAACTTGCAGAGGTTTGAAACTAAGCTGGTCTACAAACCTGGCTTATGTCACATCAGAACCCATCACTGTACCTTCTTTCAGGTTTGGCTGTAACATGTGATTCAAAGCTTTAATTCAGTTCAATTGAAAGCAAGGCCAACACCTCATTCCACTCTTCCACTAAATACCCTTTTAGAAGTCCATTTTTTCCACCATGCTCCTTCAGTCTGAACTTGTTGTGCAGTATATGTGGTGTATTTAGTTACCACTAGGTCAGACCACAAGAGTGGGAACTGATGACTCTCCTCCAAAGCACGCAGTTGCTGAGACCCGAGTGTTGGATACATTCAACTTAAAATGAAGGGTATCCTGGGGAGTAGAGGCCCATGGCAGCAGATGTAGATAGTAATGTAAAGCTCCCCTATTTATAAACAGCAGCCAAATCAGCGTACACAAACATCAACAGATAGGCCAGTGCCACATTTAAACCTTTGGGCACTTTATTGAACTATCCGCCTACCTTTGTTTCATAGCCAGTAAGAAACTTCATTTCAATCGAATTTTTCAGCACCTGTTCTCTGTCCCCATTTGCTGCAGAACGCACAATCTGTTGGAATAGAATAAAACTGGATTGTACAGACAGAACTAGTGCAATCGTGATTTATACACAGGCTTGGCCAGAATTGAGCATATTATTTCGCTGATACAGTTAAAGGCTGTGGCTACAATCGGTCAGAGGCTAGGAATTCTGAAGTAATGCCTCTCAACTCCCAAAAGCCTATCCATAACCCCAAAGCACGAGTTCAGGAGTGAGATGGAATACTTTACAACAACAATCAAGAAGCCTAACATCATCCAGGACAAAGCAGTTCGCCTGACTAGCACCCTGTCCATCATCATTAAAAATCACTCCCTTTACCAGCACTCAGTAATAGCAGTGTACCATCTCTAAGATGCACTGCAGAAATTCACTATGACAGCGCCTTCCAAGCCTGTGACACTTCCATCTAGAAGCACAAGGACAGTATATACAAAGGAACACCACCATCTACAAGGTTAAAATGGGATGCTATTCTTTATTATGGGATGACTTGAACATAAAAATAAGGATGTTTTCCTTCAGTTGCACAGGGCATAGGTGAGAGCACATCTGGACTACAGTGCACAGTTTTGGTCTCCTCCTTTAAGGATGGATGATACAGGACTGATTAGGAGAACATTTTTTCTCTCAGGGTTGTACGATTTTGGAACTCTGTTATGGTGGTGTCATTAAATAATTTTAAGGCAGAGGTAGACAGATTCTTGCTAAGAGGGGAATCAAGGATCATCAGGGAATGGGAATTCGAAATACAAACAGATCAGCCATGATTTTATTGAATGGCAGAGCAGGAGGAGCCAAATGGCCTAGATCTCCTAATTTGTATATTCCTGTGTCCCCCTCCTTAGCTATATACTATCCCAAACTATACCACTGTTCCTTCACTGGAACCAAGTCAAAATTCTAAAACTCCCTTCCTAACAACATTGTGGGTCTACCTACATCACATGGACTGCAGCGGTTCAAGAAGGCAGCTCACCATCACCTTCTCAAGGGAAACTAGGGACAGACTGTAAATGCTGGTGCTCTGAAAAAGGACCCAAAACGTGAACTTTGATTCGTTTCCTCAGATGCTGCCAAACCTGCTGATATTTTCCAGCAATTTCTGATGTTGTGGCTGTAAATGCTGGCAAGCCAGTGACACCCAAGCCCCACAAGTGAACGCATATCGCATGCTGGGTACATCAGTGGCTCAGATAGCAATGACCTGGATACATGATGTTAAATGTTTCTCTATCAGCTGCTGTAAATGTCTGAGTCTTATTTCTGTGAATGGTAAAAGGCTTTAGTTAACAGAGTATTTTAGAATCTCTTACTTCAATGTAAGTGTCAGTGAAGTCTTCATCAAACCATCTTGTAGCTCCAAAGTCTAATAAGGCCACCTGAAAGTGAAAGAGACAAATAATTTCCAGAATACTTTTGCAATGGTTCAAGGACATGGACTGACTGACAGCAATAAAAATCTTCTCCATGCACCTTGCCCAGTTCCACAGTCTCTCCTGTACATCCCACTGTAAACCCCAGGCCCTAACCAGTTTCTCCATCTCCTCCAGACATCTCCCATCCACACTCCCCTGCAGAGTGCGGGGTCTTCACATCTGTCCAGTCCATTCAAGTTTGCAACACCCTGCACCAACCTACGACAATGAGCAAGTGTAACCACAGCACTGTGCCCCTGAGAAATAGTACCCACCTTGCCAGTCTGCGGATTGTAGAAAAAGTTGGACCAGTTTGGGTCAGTCTGCATAAATCGGAATTCAAACAGTTCCTGCAGACAGAGCCTCAGGATGTTCTCACTGATCTGGAGCACAGAGGGAAGAGAAAGCTGTTACACACAAGCACGAGTCAACTAACACAAACAAGTACTTTTCTATCAGTGAAAGAAATGCATAGAATCACCGCTTGTTACAAAGACCTGAATCCATAATCCAAGTGACACTTTACTGGAGGAAGTGCTGCACTGAGATTTTGAAAACAACTTTATTTATAAACTGCAGTTCAAAATCTCCCAAAACATGTCACAGAAACAAAGTATTTCTGAAGCACAGCAAAGTTAAGACACATCCTTTCTTTTACATCCGTTTCATCTGCAGTTTTCTTTCAGGACGAGCAGTGGACTGAAATCACATCCGAAGCCATGCAGAACAAAAATCAGTCGTACTGCACAGAAACAGACCCTTCAGTCCAACCAGTCCATGCCGACCAAAATCCCAAACTAAACTAGTCCCACCTGCCTGCACTTGGTCCATATCCCAACAAACATTTCTTATTCATGTACTTATCCAAATGTCTTTTAAATGTTGTAACTGTACCCACATCCACCACTGCCTCTGGAAGTTCATTCCAAAGAAGAACCATTCTCTGCCTAAAACAGTTGCTCTTCATGTCTTTTTTAAAAGTCTCTTACCTTAAAAATATGCCCCCTAATATTGAAATACCCCACCCTAGGAAAAAGTCACCTGCCATTCACCTTATCTATACCCCTCATGATTTTACCTCAACCTCCTACACTCCAGTGAGAAGTCCCAGCTTCTCCTTATAACTCGTACCCTCCAGTCCCAGCAACATCCCAGTAAAGCTATTCTGAACCCTCTCCAATTTAATAATTCCTCTCTAAAGCAGGGTGACCACAACTGTACATAGTATTCCAAAAGTGGCCTCACCAACATCTTGTACAACCTCAACATGATGTCCCAGCTCCTATTCTCAATGGTCTGAGCAATGAAGGCTAGCGTGCTAAATGCCTTCTTAAGCACCCTGTCTATATGTGACACAAACTTCAAAGAATTATGCACCAAAACCCCTAGGTCTCTCTGATCTATAACACTACCCAAGGCCCTACTTTTAATTGTTTAAGTAATGCCCTGGTTTGTCTTGACAAATGTGAGATATTACATTTTGGTAAAATTAAACTCCATCTGCTACTCCTCAGACTATTGACCCAATTGATCAAGACCTCTTTGTAATCTTAGATAACCTTCTTCACTGTCCACTGTACCATTAATTTTGGTATCATCCACAAACTTACTAACCATGCCTTCTATATTCTCATCTAAATTATTTATATTAATGACAAACAAAAGTGGACCCACTACCGATCCCTGTGGAACACCACTGGTCACAGGCCTCCAGTCTGAAAATCAACCCTCCACCACCCTCTGTCTCCTGCTGTTAAGCCAATTTTGTATCCATTTGGCAAGCTCACCCTGAATCCCATGTGATCTAACTTTACTAATTAGCCTACCATGCAGAACCTTGTCAGAAGTTTTACTGAAGTCCAAGTAAACATGTTCTCCCTCCCTTTCCCACCCACCATGAAGGGTATACCCTGACCAAGCATTCCAAACCAAGAATCCAACACAAGACTCTCCTACAGGCCAGAGAAGGGACAGATTCACATCATAATCATGATTGCCCACCCTTCACAACCACTTCCCTTCACAACACCACTTTTTCAAACCTCTGTATCTCACTTGTCTCCTCCCTCACTCCGACACTCATCTGCCTCACTTAGGGGCCAACATCTTTGGAACAGGATTTGAACCTATAACCAACCATCTCAGAGCACAAAATTGTAACCACTGAGTCACGACTGAGCTCATGCACAGCACTTGAGATTCCCCACCAACCCCATTATTACATAGTTTCTGATCTCTTGGCTCAGTTCCTCTGTCTTGTCCAGTGGGAAGCCTGGGACCAGCTCTGTGGTGAGGATATGTTTGCTGCTCAGATGGTCAATAACATGTGGCACATAGAAGAAAGGGTCATCCTTCACCAGCTCCCTACAGGAGGAAATGAGAAAGACCAGGTTAATTTCAAAGCCATAAACCCAAAAAATTCCACATGCTGAAAGAACAGCAGAGCCAACATGGATTTATATTCAATTCTATTTTTTATTCACTCATGAGATGTATCCAGCATTTAATGCCCGTCCCTAGTTGCCCGTGAAAAGATAGTGGTAAGCTGCCTTCTTGGACCACTGCTGGAGGTAGAGGGAGTTCTAGGATTTTGACCCAGTGACAGTGAAGGACTGGTGATATATTTCCAAGTCAGGATGGTGAGTGGGTTGGAGGGAAATTTGCAGGTGATGGTATTCCCCTGCATCTGCTGCCCTTGTCTTTCTAGATGGAAGCGGTCGTGGGTTTGGAAGGTGCTGTCTAAGGATCTTGGGTAAATTTCTGCCGTACATCTTGTAGATAGTACACATTGCTGCTACTGAGCATCAATGGTGGAAAACGTGGATGTAGTGCCCAATGAGTGGCTGCTTTGTCCTGGATGGTGTCAAGCTCCTAGAGTGTTGTTGGGGCTGCACTTATCTAGGCGAGTATTCCATCACAGTCCTGACTTGTGCCTTGTAGATGGTGGACAAGCTTTGGGGAGTCAGGAGGTGAGTTACTCGCTGCAGGATTCCTAGCCTCTGACCTGCTCTTGTAGCCACTGTATTTATAAGGCTAGCCCAGTTGAATTTCTGGTCAATGATAACCCTCAGGCTGTTGATAGTGGAAGATTAAGTGAAGGTAACATCATTGAATCTTAAAGGGCAGTGATTAAATTGTCTCTTATTGGAGATAGTCCAAAGTCACAGGACACCAGGTTATAGTCCAACAGGTTTATTTGAAATCACATGTTTTTGGAGCATTGCTCCTTCATCGGTTGGAGGTCCACTTGATGAAGGAGCAGTGCTCCAAAAGCTTGTGATTTCAAATAAACCTGTTGGACTAAAAGCTACTGTCATGTGATTTCTGACCTTGTCCACCCCAGTCCTACACCAGCACTTTCACATATTGGTGATGGTTATTACCTGGCATTTATGTGGTGCAAATGTCACTTGTCAGCCCAAGCCTGGATATTGTCCAGGTCTTGCCACATTTGAATATGGACTGCTTCAGTATCTGAGGAGATATGAATGGTGCTAGACATTGAGTAATCATCGGTGTACATCCGCACTTCTGACCTAATGATGGAGGGAATGTCATTGAAGCAACTAAAAATGGTTGGGCCTAAGACACTACCCTGCAGATGGCCTGGAGCTAAGATACTGCCCTCCAACAACCATATCCATCTTCCTGGGTGCCAAATGTGACTCTAACCAGCAGAGAGTTTGCCCCCTGATTCTCACTGATTCCAGTTTTGCAAGGACTCCTTGATGCCACACTCAATCGAATGCAGCCTTGATGTCAAGGGCTGTCTCTCTCCCCTCACCTCTGGAATTTAGCTCTTTTGTCCATGTATGAACCAAGGCTGTAATGAGGTCAGGAGCTGAGTGGCCCCTGGCGGAACCCAAAATGGGCGTCACTGAGCAGATTATTGCTGAGCAGGTGCTGCTTGATAACACTGTTACTGACACTTCCATCACTTTACTGATGATCGAGAGGAGACTGATGGGGCAGGAACTGGCCGGGTTGCATTTGTCCTGCTTTTCAGTACCAGGACATACTTGGGCAATTTTCCACGTTGGGTAGATGTCAATGTTGTAACTGTACTGGAATAGTTTGGCTAGGGGAGCGGCAAGTTCTGGAGCACATGTCTTCAGTACTATTGCCATAATGTTGTCAGAGCCCATAGACTTTGCAATATCTAGTGTCTCCAACCATTTCTTGAAGTCACATGGAGTGAACAGAACTGGCTGAAGACTGGTATCTGTAATGCTGGGGACCACTGGACAAATGAGATAGATCATCCACTTGGCACTTCTGGCTGAAGATTGCTGCGAATGCTTCAGCCTTATCTTTTACACTGATGTGCTGGGCCCTTCCATCATTGAGGATGGGGATATTTGAGGAGCCTCCTCCTCCAGTGAGTTGTTTAATTGTCCACCACCATTCACAACTGGATATGGCAGGTCCGCAGAACTCAGATCTGATACTTTCGTTGTGGGATCGCTTAGCTGTTTCTCTTACTACCAGTTTATGCTGTTTAGAACACAAGTCATCCTGTTTGGTAGCTTCACCAGGTTGTCATCTCAGTTCTAAGTATGCCTGGTGTTGTTCCTGGCATGCCCACCTGCACTCTCCGTTGAACCAGGGTTGATCCCCTGGCTTGATGGTAATGGTTGAGTGGGGTCTACGCTGGGCCATGAGGTTACAGATTGTGCTGGAATACAATTCTGCTGTTCATGGCCTACAGTGCCTCGTGGATGCCCAATGTTGAAATGCTCGATCTGTTCACAGTCAGTCCCATTTAGCACGGTGATAGTGCCACACAATACGAAGGAGGGTATTCTCAGTGTGAATGTGGGACCTTGTCTCCACAAGGACTGTGCTGTAGTGACTCTTTGCAATGCTGTATAGCACAGTACAGGTCCTTTGGCCCACGATGATACTGCCATGGACAGATGCATCTGTAGCCAGCAGATTGGTAAGGATGAGGTCAAGTATGTATTTCCCTCTTGTTGGTTCCCTCAGCATCTGCTGCAGACCCAATGCAGCAGCTATGTCCTTCAGGACTCGATCAACCCGATCAGTAGTACTGCTGCTAGGCCACTCTTGGTGGTGAACACCGAAATCCCCTAGGCAGGGTACACACTGTGCCATTGCAATCCTGATTGCTCGGCCATTTCAGAGGGTGATTAAGAGTCATTGCCGTTGTGGAGTCACATGTAGGCCAGAACAGATGAGGAAGACAGTTTCCTTCCCTAAAGGACTCAAGTGAACCAAATGGGTCTTTTTCAGATAATCGACAATGGTTTCATGGTCATCGTTAAATTTGTAATTGCAGATTCTTATTGAATTCAAGTTTCACCATCTGCGTGGCAGGATTTGAACTCAGATCCCTGGGTCTTTGGATTACAGTCCAACATCGCCATTACTTGGCCATCAACTCCCCTCATAAGAAGACACGTGTACCTTGCTAATCTCAGTGTCAGTGTTTACATTCCCACCATTCATTTAATTCCTGTGCAAAGCGTCAAGTTTTGCTTTTAACAGCATAATGAGCTGCCTGGGTAAGATTCTACAAATTAGAATGATCATTTATATATAAATGATCTGTGGGAACACGCTGGTTTAAACACGAGCTTATCAGGGCTGCTATGACCTTGAAGCTGACTGAGTGTGCCTCAGCAAGGACAGGTTGTTTGTTACAGAGAGAGCATTTCCCACTTAGAGAATTACACAGGAAGTGGAACACAAGCTTCTGAGTGTGAACTCAGAAATTCTAACACACTCCCAGGAGGGTCTCTGTTGAGCCTAATGAGCAAGTGAGGGTGGGGTGGGGGTGTGTGGTGTGACAGCACCAGGTTTACAGGAACAGGTGAACCATCTTAGTGAACCAGAAATGGCCTCTGTGGTCTGCAGGCTTCAGCACAGGAGCTCCATCACATTCGGTGTTAATGCTGGGGACTTGTAACAAAATACACCACAGCCAAAAGTCTCAGAGCAGTGTGAGGCAACATGGAATAAAAGATGGGGATTCCTGGATTTGAAGTGGTTTTGGGACAAAAGAAATAGTTTCTGATGCAAGAATGCAGCAGAAAATGTTTCACTTCACTCTGAATTTGACATCACCAACTCAATAGCATTTAACAACATTTATTGTTCCTTGGCTCTGAGACGATGGTAATAAGATGCCTTCATGCCCTGTTACAGTCCATGCACTGTACGAACATATACAACACTGGACAAAACCGGCAGAGTTTTGCTCACATCATGAATACTTTGGTTCAGTATTCACTAGTGAGAGGGACAATACAGGTACAGAAATCAGGGAGGTCTGTGATACAATTAAAGAAATTAGCACAGACAGAAATTAAGTTCTGCGTGGTCTGGCAGGCTTTAAAGTAGGTAAATCTCCTGGGCTGAAGGAAATGTATCCCATGCTGTTGAGTAAGACAAGGGAGGAAATAGCATGAGCCATGACAATAATTTTCTATTCCTTTCTGGACAGAGGAGGGGTGCCAGAGGACCAGAGGACAGCCAATGTGGTCCCATTGTTCAAGAATGGAGCAAGGGATAAACCAGGAAACTACAGTCCATTCAGTCTAACCTGAGTGCTGGGGAAACTACTGGAATTAATTCTGAGGGACAGTGATAATTTACACTTGGAGAGGCAGAGATTAATCAAGAACAGTCAGCTTGGTTTTGTTAAGGGGAGGTTACGTCTGACCAACTTGCTTGAATTTTTCGAAGAGGTGACCAGGTGTGTAGATGAGGGCAATGCTTTTGATGTGGTCTAGTTAGACTTCAGCAAGGCTTTTAATAATGTCCCACATGGGAGACTGATAGCGAAGTTAAGAGCGCATGGAATCCAAAGGAATTTGGCAAATTGGATCCACAATTTGCTAAGCGCCAGGAAACCATTCCTTCACTGTCACTGGGTCAAAATCCTGGAATTCCCTCCCCAAGGACATTGTGGGTCAACATACAGCAGATGGACTGCAGTAGTTCAAAAAGTCAGCTCACCATCACCTTCCCAAGGGCAACTAGGGACGGGCAATAAATGCTGGACCTGCCAGCAACCGTCCACCTCCCACGAGTCAGTAACAGAAATAAGCAGAAGGTGATGGTGGAGGGGTGTTTTCCTGACTGTCTCTGTCCAATGGGGTACTAAAAGGGTCAGTGTAGGGGCCCGTGCTGTTTGTGGTTTATACAAATGATTTAGACTTGAATGTTGGGAGGGTTGATCAGTAAGTTCACAGAAAATACAAAACTCGATAGGGTAGTAACTAGTGGGGAGAATAGGCTTAGACATAGGCAGGCTGGTCAAATGGGCCAATCAGGAGCAAATGGAATTTAATCCAGATAAACATGAGGTGATGCACTTGGGCAGAACTCACTAGGGAATGGAAGACATGTTGAACACGTATTCCTGGGAAACACCGAGGATCTGAGGGACCTTGGTGTGCGTGCTCACCAATGCCTTAAGGTATCAGGAGACATATAATAAAAACAGCAAATGGTATACTTGCCTTTATTAAATCAAGGCACAGAATTTAAGAGCAGGGAGGTTATGCTGGAATTGTAGAAAACATAAGTTGGGCCACAACTAGAGTGTATTGCATGCAGTTTTAGAATCCATATTATAGGAGGGGTGTGATACAAGAGTTTAGGGTGCAGACAGAATGTTGCCTGGACTGGAGAGTTTCAGTTATGAAGACAGACTGGGGTTGTTTTCTTTTGAGCACAGGAGCTCAAGAGGGGACATGACTGAAGTGCATAAAATTATGAGGGGGTACAGATAGAGTAGGCAGGAAGGGAATTTTCCCCTTGACAGAGGGATCAATGACTAGAGGACATTGATTTAAGGTAAGGGGCAGAGGGTTTTCACTCAGAGGGGGTTGGGAATCTGAAAATCACTGCCTGTAAAAGATGGGAGAAGCAGAAATCCTCAAAACGTTGAAGTAATATTTAGGCCCCATGTGCCCAAATATCTGGGGGTGAAGGACTGGCACCTTCAGTCAAATGAAAACCTTGGAAAACCTTACAACCCTGAGCAAACGTCACAGCCAAAGACAACCAGCTAAATGGATGAGGGCAGCAGGCACAATGGAAAAGCAGCACCAAGCCATTCACCATCCCGATTTTGAGTTAGATCGGCTGTCCTTCACTGCCCCAGGTCAAAATCCTGGAAATTCCCTTCCTAACAGCAGTATGGGTGTCCCTACACCCTCAAGACTGCAGCAATTCATTGAGACATTTTACCGCCACCTTCTCCAGGGAAATTAGGGATGAGCAACAAATGTCAGCTGTTATGAAACTAACTTTGCTGATTCTCTGGCACGGTTTTCTCAGGTATAGGATAAGAACTATGAGGCCAAGGAGCCAAGGGGTGGGACAACGTTCTCTCCACAGCCAGCATGATTCGTCTCCCTCTCAGTTCAGGACTGAACTCCACAGCTAGGATTATTTACAGTGCTCCCATTGTGATATTCCGACTGCAAAGCTGATGGTATTGAAAACACCTGACTCTAAGGCTGCAGGTCATAATCTCAATCACCTCTTTGTACTCGAGTTCCCTGGATAGGAGGTAGGTGGGTAGCTAACATTTCACACATACCTGAACTGCTTATAGCACCTTGCTTCCCTTTCATAATCACATTCCAAGGAGAGCTCACGGCTCATCACTTCGATCATATGCTCAGGAAACAAACCTAACAATAAAAGGAAAAGGTTTTCAAATACTTCAAATCCATAAACAACTGGCATTTTGTGAAAGAACGTGCAGTTATTTTACAAGGTGCAGTTATCTGCTAAATGTAGCAAGGTACTGATCAGCAGAATGGGAAACCGAGCTGAAGAAGGATATATTAGGAGACATGAACAAAAGTTTGAGAGACACCTTTAAGTACATTCAAAGCACTTTCTCGCCAATGATCTGTCTTTGCAGCATAGTCACTGCCGTAATGTCAAAAATCACAGCAGCTATGCACAGCAAGATCCCACAACATAATGACCAGATAATCTTACCATCAATAGCCAAGGGATAAATATTGGTGAAGGTACTGGTGTTACTAATTAAAACCTGTCTCCCAGTCTCGAATATATTTAATAACTCAGCCTAAAAAGCCCTTTGCAGTAAAGAATTTCTCACATTCACCAAATTCAGAAAAAGTCCTCTTCACTTCCATCTTAGTTACGCAACCTCTTCCTCCGAGATTTCACACACTGATCCTAGACTCGAGGAGAAATAACGCTCCCTGTCTACCCTAAGTATTTATATATTCTGATAAGGTTGTCTCTCATTCTAAAGTCCAATGAGTACAGATGCAACCTATTCAGCTTCTCCCACAAGACTGTCCCTCCATACCCAGGTCCAACCTGGTGAACTGCCTCCAGTGCCAGTATATCTTTCCTTAGATAAGGAGACTAAAACTGCTCACAGTACTTCAGTGTGGTCTCACTCAGGCATTATATAGTTTTAATCAAGACTTCCCCATTTTTAAGCTCTATTCCCTTTGAAATAAAGGCTAACATTCCATTTACCTTCCCTATTACCCAGTGAACCTGGATGTTAGCCTTTTCGTGATTCATGTACAAGGACCCTCAAATCCTCTGCAATACTTCTCTACTTCAATAATTTTCAGCTCCTCTATTCTTCCTGCCAAAGTGCATAACATCACATCTTCCGACATTATACTCCATCTGCCAAGTAGTTTAGGTCCATAAGTCAGTGCCAATTCTCCTCTGCACCCCATCTAGTCCACTCACATCCTTCCCACAGCGTGGTAACCAGAACTGTATTGCTCCAGAAGTGGTCTAACCAAAGTTCTAGATTCTTTTCACACTCTCACTGACTTATTTCCTTTTTCACTTACCCTCTGTACCTTCTATTCTTAGCCCTTTCCCACTTGTATTATCCTGTCATAAGCACCCACTTTCTGCTTTATCTTAGTCTCCATGTCCTTCAATATCCAGGGAGCTCACAATTTTTCTGACCTACCTTTCCCTTTCACAGGAATGTACCTTAACTGTAGCCAAACTACCCTTTTACAATTAGAGCTGTGACCACAAAGCTTTGATTCCATTTTATCTGGGCCAGCTATGTTCTCACTACTGAAACTGAACCTTCCCCAGTTACTTATTCTCAAACACAAACATAGAAAATACGAGTAGGCCACTCACCCTTTCAGTATGCTCTGTCATTCAGTACGATCATAACTTATTCAACGCAACAGCCTGCTCCTGATTTCTCCCCCCATATCCTTTGATCCTTTAGCCTCAAGTGCTATAATCGAACTTCATGAATCATTCAATGTTTTCTGCGGTAACGAATTCCACAGGCTTACTACTCCTGGGTAAAGAAATGTATCCTCATCTCAGTCCTGTAACTTTACTGTGACCCCTGGTTCTGGACTTGTCCCTCGTGGGGAATATCAATTCTGCATCTCCCATCTAGTTCTGCTACAATTGTATGGGTTTCTATGAGACTCCCCCCTCATTCGTCTAAACTCCAGTGAATATAATCCTAACCAATTCAACCTCTCCTCATACGTCAGTCCCACCATCGAAGCAGCAGTCTGGTAAACCTTTGCTCTATTGCAAGAACATCCTTCCTCAGGAAAAAGAGACCAAACTACACAAAATTTCCAGATATGATCTCACCAAGGCACTGTATAATTGCAGCAAGACATCCCTGCTCCTGTACTCCAATCCTCTCGCTAAGAAGGTCAATATACCGTTTGCCTTCTTCATGTACCTCCACACTTACTTACTTTCAGTGACTGGTGTACAAGGACGCCCAGGTTTCATTGAACATTCCCCCCTCTCAATTTATAGCCATTCAGATAATCATCTGCCTTCCTGTTTTTGCTCCCAAAGTAGATAACCTCACATTTATCCTCCCTACAGTTCACCCTCCCACCCTGCTTTGTCTCATCTGCAAACGTAGAGGTATTACATTTAGTTCCCTCATCTCATTCATGACATTTTAAAAACATTTGGAAAGGTACATGGATGAGAAGGGCTTAGAAGACCAAATGTGTACAATTGGAACAAGTTCAGTTGGCACCATGGTCAGCATGGACCAGTTTGGGCTGAAGGGCCTGTTTCCATGCTGTATTACTCTATGAGTATATGATATGAATAGCTGGAGTCCTAGCACTTATCCCTGTGATACCCCATTACTCCTGCCTATCATTTATTCCTACTGTTTCCTGTCTGCCAACCAGTTTTCAATACATCTCAATACACAACTTCCAATCCTTTGGGTATTAATTTTACACATTAATCTCTTGTGACAGACTTTTGCAGAAAGCCTTCTGAGTGTCTAAATAATCTACATTCACGGATTTTCCTGCTCATCAACTCTACCAGTCACATCCTTGAAGAAGTTCTGTCTGACCGTGTCACTGTTTTCCAAGCACTCAGCTACTAAACCTTTTAGAACAGACACTAGCATTTTCCCCACTACTGACATCAGGCTGACCAATCTACAATTCCCAGTTTCCTCTCTACCTCCCTTTTTAAATAGCAGGGTTACATTAGCTAGCCTCCAATCTGTAAGAACTGTTCCAGAGTCTAGAGAATTTTGGAAGACTGCACCCACTAATTCTAGGGTCACTTTCTTAAATCTTCTCAGATGTAGTTTATCCAGGACTGGGGATTAATTGACCTTCAATCCCCAATTTTCCCAACACCATTTCCCTACAAACACTAATTTGCTTCAGTCCCGCCCTCTCGCTAAACTCTTTTTCCCCAATGTTCCTGGTATGTCATTTGCGACTTATTTTGTGAGCACAGATACCAAGTATGTATTTAGTTGGTCAGCCATTTCTTTGTTCTACATAATAAATTTCCTTGCTTCTGATGTAAGGGACACCTATAGAAACTTCTAGAGTCATTTTTTACATTTCCCACGAGCTCACACGTGTTCTGTTTTCCCTTTCTTAATCAATCCCAATGTTCTCATTTACTCAATTCTGAAACTGCTTCCACCCCTTGGACCTGACTTTTTTTTAAAATTCTGGCCAATTGATGTGCCTCTTCCTTGGATCTAATACTATCTGTAATTTCCCTTGTAAGCCATGGTTTGGAATCTTTCTCCTTTTACCTTCGTGCCAAACAGGAATGAACAACTATAACAGCTCATCCATGTGCTTTCTGAAAGTCTGCCATTGCCTTTCCACCATCATCCCTTTAAGTAATGTTCCCCAATCTCTCAGCCAACTCCTACCGCAAACTTGGTACTTTCCTCTATTTTGATTCATGACTTTAGTCACAGAATCAACTCCATCACGCTCCATCTTGATGAGTAATTCTCTCACATTATGGTCATTCATACCCAAGGGATCTCACAGAACTAGACTGTTAATTATTCCTTTCTCATTACACAATACCCAGTCTAGGATAACTGTTCTCTAAAATAAAACAAAAAAACAAACCGTGGATGCTGGAGATCAGAAACAAAAGCAGAAATTGCTGGAAAAACTCAGCAGGTCTAGCAGCATCCGTGGGCAGAAAGCAAAATTAACATTGAATCCTGTTCTTATGAGTCACTGGACTCGAAACATTAATTCTGCTTTCTCTGCACAGATACTGCCAGACATGCTAAGTTTCACCAGCAATTTCTGTCTTTATTTCATGGCCTGTTCTCTATTCAGCTTATCAATGTATTGTTTCTGAAAACCATCCCAAATACGCTCCAGGAATTCCTCCTCTGTGGTAATGCTACTAATTTGACTTGCCCAATCTAAATGCAGATTAAAGTCACCCATAATTACAGATGCTCCTTAACTGCAGACATCTTTAATCTCCTGTTTCATGCTATTCCTAACATTACCCCTACAGTTTGGAGGTCTGTATAGACCCCCGGTAATGTTTTGTTTTTTTATCATTAATTCATTCATGGGATGAGGGTGTTGCTGGCTAGGCCAGCATTTATTGACCTTCCCTAATTGTCCAGAGGGAAGTTAAGAGTCAACCACATTGCTGTGGGCCTGGAGTCACATGTGGGCCTGGAGTCACATGTGGGCCAGACCAGGTAAGGATGGCAGTTTCCTTCCCTAAAGGAGGTTAGTGAACCAGATGGGTTTTTCCTGACAATCGACAATGGATTCACTGTATCAAACTAGTGCCTTTGTCGAGTTTTAACGTCGCTCGTCGACACGTCATAATTAATCTACTGTCTAGCTAGCCCACCTAGATCTTACTGGGGAACGTCTCTTCATATCATATGGCAGAACATCAGGCCGGGAATCTTGAGTGGGTGACACATCAATAGGCTAGTAAAATACCTTTTTCACATCATCTAATGTGTCGAAAAAAAGTGAAATATTAACACCCTTTACCCACCACCATCATATGTGACTAAAATCCAATACTTTATTAATAAACCAATAAAATTTCCTTAAAACTAAATTTAAAATTAAAATCTTAAAATACACTAATCGAGATATTTAGTGAATTCAAATCCCACCATCTGCTGTGGTGGGACTTGAACCCGGGTTCCTGGAGCATTATCTGGGTCTCTGGATTAACAGTCAAGTGATGATACCACTAGGCCATCGCCTCTCCTGTGTTCCTTCTCTTTTTCCATAACCAGCCCCTAGCCTTTTTACACTATGATCACGGTTCCCCAAATGATCCCTGACTGATATCTGATCGACTTCACCCTCATTCCCATGAACCGGGCCTAGCAGTACTTCTTTGATATTAGACTGGAAACATATCAATGTAAAATAATACTCATGAACACAATCTAGGAACTTTTACCCTCTCTCTCTTTTACTACTACCCCAGGTTGTATTAGAATTATTTCATTATAACTGCACTATAATGCTTGTACCTCATTGTAATTTCCTTGCAAGTCAGTTCCTCTAAATTTTCCCGTTGAGGTGACGGTTTACAGGATACACCCAACAATGTGATGGTACCTTTCTCATTCATTCATCACGTGTGGGCTTCAGCGGCTGGGCCAGCATTTATCATCCTCGAGAAGGTGGCGGTGAGCTCTCTCCATTTTCTTTAGCTCTAACAAGATAGATTCTGTTCTTGATCTCTTTGGGCCAAGCCCTCTCTCTCCCCTTCTAGGAGCAGTCCAGAGATTACTACTTTTGAGATACTGCTTATTAATTTTCTACCTTGCTCCCTAAATACTGACGGCAGCTCACATCCCTTTTTTCTCCCATGTTACTGATTCCAATGTGGACCATGTCTACCGGAAGTGCACCCGTTCAGACACAGCTCTGACCCCGGCACCCAGGAGACTACAAACTATCGTGGAATCTACGATACCACAATGCCATGGTCTGGTCTCTGGTTTCCCTCCCCAGTTAAACTATTGCTTCCATTAGTTTTCAGAACTGAGTGACTGGTTGGATAGTGAGACACACTCAGGCAAATTCTGCTTTACTATATGCCTGGCTCTCCTGGACTATCCAGTAGTCACATGCACTGCCTGTTTTTCCATAACCTGCAAGCTGCAGGGTGACTCCACATGGATACAGATTAACAATGAACTGGTCACAGGGATGTATCTCAGCGAACCCTGGTAAGGTCTGGAAACAGAAGGTTCACCCACTCTCCACACTGCCCTCTGGTGAAAGCATAGCCAGAGTGACTGCACAGGGATACAGATCAGTGACAGAAGACACAGAACATGGAGCGAATCAGGCGTTAAACAAGAGCTGATTGAAGCAAGAGAGATTTTCATGTCTCAGGCACAGGTCACTCACCTTCAGGTAGAGCATTGCTCATGTTCATTACTGTTATCAGGTTAGCAACATCACTGGCAATACTCTGAGCAACTCCAGGATACTGCAGATAATAACACAGGAATACGGTCATTCACTGAGCCAGGTATGTAGGGCCCTCTCCCCCTACACTGAACCCCACCACCAGCCAGCCAACCTGTGAATAAACCACCAACACCTTCGTTCTCCCCAGGCACTTGGCAGTGGTTTCAACATAACAGCAATTAGTATTTGTACAGCATCTCTAACATCAGAAAATGATTAGAAGTTACATCAAAGGAACATCATAAAACAAGACTGGAATGAAGCAGGGCTAACACTGGAAAATAATACTGAAGTAATGATCAGCCATGGCCTCAGTGAATGGTGGAACAGATGTAAAGGATTGAATGGTCTGCCCTTGCTCCTATTTACCATATTCTTATGAGCCACAAAGACGTGTCAGGTTAGATGACCAAATGTTAGATCAAAGTGGTAGGTTTTAAGGAATGCCTCACAAAAGAGTAATGCAGAGAGGCAGAGGGGTATCGGGAAGATTACTGCAGCCTAGGGGCCTAGGCAACGGGAAGCATGACCAATGGTGGAACAATTAAAATCAGTGACACCGAAGATGCCAGAATTAGAGAAATGCAGAAATCTCAGATGGCGGTGAGCTGGAAGAGATTACAGAGTTGGGGAGAGGTTAAGCCATGAAGGAATTTGAAAACAGGGGTGAGAAATTTTAAATCAAGATATTGCTTGACTGGGGCCCATGTAGACCCATGATCACTACTTGGTGCAAGTTAAGACAGAGGCAGTAGAGTTTTGGACAACCTCAAGTTTACAGAGGGTTGAATGTGGAAGAACAGTGAAGAAAGGCACTGGATTAGTCAAGTCTAGAGGTAACAAAGATAGGAATGAGATAGTAGGAACTGCTGATGCTGGAGAATCTGATATAACAAGGTGTAGAGCTGGATGAACGCAGCAGAAATTTTCAGAAATTTCAGAAGGGTCTAGACCTGAAACGTCAGCTTTCCTGCTCCTCTGATGCTGCTTGGCTTGCTGTGTTCATCCAGCTCTACACCTTGTTATATAAAGATAGGAATGAGTTTTCACCAGCAGATTAGCCAAGACAAGGGTGGAGGTAGGCAATGTTACAGAGGTGATAGAATCTTGATCTGTCGGGGAATCGAGGGTTATAAGGAAAATACTGGAAAGTGGACATGAGGAGTGTTGGATCAGCCATGATCCTATTGAATGGTGAAGCAGGCTCGAGGAGCCAAATGGCCTACTCCTGTTCCTGTTTTTTATGGTCTTATAGGTGGAAATAAGCAGTCTTAGTGATAGGCAGGAAGCTCACCACAGGATAAAACGTGAACCCGAGATTACTAGCAGATTAATTTAACATCTTAGATTGGTTCTAGGGAGAGGGGTGGAGGAAGTTCATTTCAAATGAAGTTTGGAGCATGGACAGAAAATGATTTCAGCGTTCCCAATAATTCATTGGGACGTGAGGCTACCAACACCAGAACACAGCTTTAACTAAGTCAGCAATGAAGCAGGCAAGCAGTTTAAGGCAGAAAATCATGTCATACAACCTGGATCTTCATAGCCACCTCCCTGCCATCTTTCAGCTTTGCCAGATGGACCTGGCCAATGGAAGCTGCTGCAAATGGTCGATCTTCGAAAAACTCCAGCTGATCTTTCCAATTAGGCCCCAGGTCACTGCTCAGCACCTTCTGCAGAAAGATATATACAACAACGGATAAAGGTGGCAGTCAGGAGGTAGAGGTACAGGAATAAAGTTTAATAATGGAAGTGGAAAGATTCAGGTCACAATAGCTGGTTAATCCAGGAGGGCAAATGCTTGAGACGGGAAGTTCAGGATCTGCTTTCTGATCATCAGACCCACAAACAGAATAAAGCCCTTTGCCTACTGAGTCTCTGGGTAAATTCATCACCACCTCATGGATACCAGCAATCAGTAGCTAATGGTTAGGAACTGGGAGTGAGTGTCACCTTCTCCCAGTTACAAGGACAGTCAAACACGGCAATGCTGAAAAGCAGAACAATAATTTAAAAAAAAAGAGAGAAATCGGGGCGAAAGGTGGGACTTGGTGATTATAGGGCAAAGGGCAGGAAAATGGTGGAAGGGAGAGAAAGGACATTGGATACAGGGACTGGGGAGATAGTGGACACTAACCATCATCTGTTTGCTGGGCATGAAGTCAGCACTCTGTCGAGCACGTTCAAATATCTTCTGCAGCTGAGGGTTGATGAAAGCTTCATCTGGAGAAAGGCAAAAAACAGGTCAGAATCAGACATCGCGGTTCAGCTCAGGAGACAGGGGTGATCACTGAGAATGCATTGCAAACACAGTGCAAATTACACATAGGATTCCACATAGAGTATCCCACAGCCTGCACATGGGAGCTCACAGCCCTAACATTTCAGCTTTTGGCCTCACTTGGGGTCCAAGCACATTGTGAAGCCCTGTTTTAAAGGAATTTCTTTTTTAAATATAAACAGAGGTGAAGGAAAAAGCTGACAGTACAGCTCAGTGTCTGCAGTCTTGACTGCCAATAACAGAGCAAAGGGGCCCAGGTCCAAATCATCACAGTGTAGTGTGAAGTAGCTGAGGAAGCTCCAATATATGGCCAGAGGAAACACTGAAGGTGCGGGACATATATAGGCCAAGCAACTGGTGATGGCTTCACAAGCCAAGAGCACCCAGGACCTCAAAGCCTCAATTTCTTCAGAATCAGGAGGCAGTCTGCACTATCCTACTTGCTGAGTAATTTAACAAAAAATAGCAGGCAATCATATAATTACAAGCATACAAGGAACATGAGTCCAAAAGGAAGTCAGGCAAAATGGTGCCAAGTCTTCCCTATTTCACAGAAAGGGGAACTCGGTCAATTTTGGTAAATATGGCAGGAAACAGGAAAGAGTGTCAGAATCAGAGCTCCCACAGCATCTATCCTGAAACAACATCATCATTAAGGCCAAAAGTGTAACTATATCCCTCTCAATGCTAAGATCCTGAAACATATGCAGTGATTTGCTGGGCTCTCCCATCACTGAGGATGGAGATATCTGTGCAGCTGTCTCCTCCATTCAGCATTTACAACAGGACCTGGTAAGATACAGAGCTTGGAAATAGTCTGTCTTGAAGTTCCACACTGCTCCTCACTGAACTTGGACCTGGTCTCAAGATCAGAGGTAACAGACATCACCTATTGTGTCAGATTCTAAAGACACCTTTTTTTTTAAAAATTCATTCACGGATGGAGGGTCTCACTGGCCAGGCCAGCATTTATTACCCATCCCTAATTGCCCAGAGGGCAGTTCAGAGTCAACTACATTGCTGTGGGTCTGGAGTCACATGTAGGCCAGACCAGGTAAGGATGGCAGTTTCCTTCCCTAAAGGACATTAGTGACCAGATGGGTTTTTCCGACAATCGGCAATGGATTCGTGGTCATCATGAGACTCTCAATTCCAGAGTTTTTTCTTAATTGAATTCAAATTCTGCCACCTGCCATGGTGGGATTCGAACCTGGGTCACCAGAATGTTAGCAGAGTCTCTGGATTAACAGTCCAGCGGTAATATCACTAGGCCATCAACTCAAGAAATATGATTTCTTGAGAGAACAAGACACAAGAAGGAAGGAGGCCATTAAAGAACTGTCCAATTCGGCCTATTGTGACCTTTCCTCTTAGCCCTCTAAATCTTTGCCCACCAAATGTTTATGGAGTTATCTGTGATTTACTGAATCTAGTTCCATCATCCTTTTAGGTATCATCATAACTTGCTCAGTCCTGACAGTTTCCTCATCTTCCTTCGTGCCAGCCACCTTACATCTTTGTTGTCTGCTCACCAACCTTCCTGCCAGCAGTTTCTCCTTAATGAAAGCCTTCTTGATTTTAACCACCTCTCTCAAATCTCCTCTTCATCTTTTCAGCTGTGAGGAGAACAAACCCAAGATCTTCAGTCTCTGCAAAAGTGAACACCCTCATCCCTGGCACCATTCGAATAAATCTGTTCTGCATTTCTCCAAATCCTTGATGTCCTACCCTATTTGAAGGTTTAGCATAACGTTCCAGATTGCATATCCTAATCTACTATTTAATAAGTTTTTGATCCCACATGCTTTTATCAACAATGTTCTCAATTTAACCTGGCGCAAAGATTGTATACAAATACCTCAGCTCTCTCTGTTCCAGCAGCCTGTGCATAACCACTATTTTATATTACCCTCCCTCCTTCTTCCCACCAACACGGATCTCTTCATGTTTACCTGCATTAAATTTCACCTGTCACCTGTCTACTTACTTAGAACATAGAACATTACAGCGCAGTACAGGCCCTTCGGCCCTCGATGTTGCACCGACCTGTGAAACCAATCTGAAGCCCATCTAACCTAAACTATTCCATTATCATCCATATGT